CGTCTTCCGCGAGGGTCCGCACGGCTTTCGGAAAGGATAGGGACAGGTGGTGTGTAAATTTGGGGGGTGGGGGGGAACAATAGCCAAGATTAGGGCTGCTGGATAAAGTAGAGGATACGGAATGGGACATACTTATAATAAAAAAATTGCTCGTTTATCTGAAAGTCAAGTTTAAGTGGGCGCCGTGTTTTTTTTTTTTTTTTTTTAATTTTTTTCCTAAATCTGGAAACCTTAAGCTCGGACTCGAAGATCCTGACTTTCTGGCACAGCAACCCCCACCCTCGCAGACCAATCTGCTGGGCAGGAGGCTGCAGGAGCTTAAGGTGTCCTCCAGCGCCCCCTCCCATCGCCCCCACTGCCCCAATGTACCCCTCTCCTTGTCCATATCCCTTCTCTACTCCCTAAACTTCCCCTCCCATCCCCCTCCGCCTTTGTCGTCCCCCTCCCTTTACGCTTTCCCCCGTCACCCCCTCCCTGGCGCTCACCCCCAGGCTCGCCTCTCCCTGCACCCCTCCCTATCGTCCCTATCCATTGCGTTTTCCCCCACCGCTCCCTCCTCCGCACGCACCCCTCCTCTCCTTCTCTCCTCCCGCGCCTCTCCAGCGTCGTCTCTTCCCCCACGGTCTCTTCCCCCACGGTCTCTTCCTCCCCAGCACTCGCTCCCCCGCGCCCATCCTCTACTCCCCCGCCGTCCCCCTGGTGCTCGAGGGGGAACCCCGGCTGCAGGCGCGGAGCCCCGCGCAGGCGCAGAGCCACCCGGCTTCCCCGAGGCCGCCGCCGCCCGCGCACTGCGGCCCGCGCGCCCGGTTGCTAAGGCAACGACAGGGGCTGGAGTGGGAACCTCCGGAAGACCCCGCTCTCGCTCCCTCCCCCGCCACCTCCTCGGCAAACCCCACTCCGGTTTGAGCCGGTTTCCCCGCCCAGCCCCCATGCGCACTGCGGCGGGTGAGGATTCCCCGGCCCTCAGGGTGGGCGGGTGGGTAGGTGGGGGGGGGGGGGTCGGGTGGGGCCGACGCATGCGCGCTGCGCGCGGCTTCCCCTCTTCGGCTGGCGCGCGACGGGAAAGCCCCGGCGCAAAAGGCGAGCACCCCCGCGCAGGCGCAGTGAGCGCCCGGTGGCCCCGCGGCCCAGCCCGGTCGTCCTGGCAACGCACGCGGGGCGGACTGGGCGCGCACGGAACTCCCCTCTCACGCCCCCCCCCAGCTCTCTGCGGCGGAGCTGGGGATTCCCTGCTGCCAAAGCGCACGCGCGGGCTCGGGATTCCGCGGGGGCCGGGGTGGAGGCGGAGGCGGGGCCCGGACCCGGGCCAGGGGCCGAAGCGAGTAAGGGCCTTTCTGTAACAGGGAACAAACGTTATTACTTTGTCTTTGTGCCCGAGGGCTGACGACCACCCTCTCAGCTCCTGTCCTGAGTTTCATCCTCACTCTTGTCCCCCGGCTGTCCCTCTGCAGGCGCCCGGAAGAGCCTGTCGCGCGCCGCTCTGATCCGCTCCCTGCCCTGCTCACAACCCCACCGGGGCTCCCTATCGTCCTGGGGTGAAGCCCCACTCCTTTGCCTGGCGTCCGAGGCCCGGTGTGCCCAGTCGTGGCTGGTTGGCCCTCCCGTCGGCTTCTTCCCTCGGGTCGATTACCGTTGGTCCCCGACCTTCTGTCATCCCCAGCCACAAAGACCCTAACATGGTCATGTGGGCCAAGCCCTTCCCGTCGTACGCTCCCCAGGTACCATCGCCTTGATTCTCCAGATAGCCTGGGTTTGGGCGCGGTTTTTAGTCCCATTTTACAGGAGAAACTGAGGCTTAAATCATTCAGAACCTTGTCTAAGGTCTCAAAAGAGGCAGAGGTGGGATTCGAAACTAGGCCTCCATTTGTGGGGAGCTATGTGGGCTATTCCACCCATTTCCTGGCTGGCACCTTCAGCCCCGATTCTGGGCCCCAAAACTACCCCTGCTGCCTTCCTGGCGGCTCTGGGTGCTTCCCGGCTATGTGACATAGGCAGGTGACTTAGTTTTCTTTTTCTTTTCCTTTTTTTTTGAGACAGAGTTTTGCTCTCCTTGCCCAGGCTGGAGTGCGATGGTGCGATCTCGGCTCACTGCAACCTCCACCTGCCGGGTTCAAGCGACTCTCTTGCCTCAACCTCCAGAGTAGCTGGGATTACAGATGCCCACAGCACACCCGGCTTTTTTTTTTTTTTTTTTCTGAGATGGAGTCTCTCTCTGTTGCCCAGGCTGGAGTACAGTGGCGCGATCTCGGCTCACTGCAACCTCTGCCTCCCGAGTTCAAGCGATTCTCCTGCTTCAGGCTCCCGAGTAGCTGGGATTACAGGCATGCACCACCACGCCTGGCTAATTTTATATTTTTAATAGAGATTTATTAAATCTCTAGTAGGGTTTCTCCATGTTGGTCAGGCTGCTCTTGAACTCCCAACCTCAGGTGATCCACCCACCTCAGCCTCCCAAGTGTTGGGATTACAGGCATGAGCCACCGTGCCCAGCCTTAGTTTTCTTATATACAAAGAGGATCAATATCTCATAGGGGCTGTCCCCAGGGCTCAGTGAGGGGCTGCTGCCACCTGTTTGGCCAAGGCCTGGTGCCCAGTAGTGCCAGTGCCTTTCTCCTCCCACGTGGGGGACTCTGCACATTGGTGCCCCCTGCAGGATGCCTTACCTTCCTCTCCTTTCCTTAACCCTCACCAAAGGTCTCTCCCAGATATCCCACATTTCCTACAGTCACTGTCTCAGGGTTGGTTCTTGGGGGACCTCCAAACTAAGCTAGTGCCCACCATATATTGGTTAGTTTTTATGTCAACTTCAGCTGTACCCAGTTTATTTTTTTGAGACAGGGTCTCGCTCCGTCGCCCAGGCTGCAGTGCCAATGGCACAGTTAGGGCTCACTGCAACCTACTCACTGCATCCAACTCAACCTCAAGGGATTCTTCCAACTCGGCTTCCCAAGAAGCTGGGACCACAGGCACATGCCATCACGCCCTAATTTTAAACTTTTTCTGTAGAGACAAAGTCTTGCTTTCTTGCCCAGGCTGGTCTCAAACTGCTGGATTCAAAAGATCCTTCCATTGTGGCCTCCCAAGTCCTGCGATCATAGATAGGCATGAGTCATGGTGCCTCGCCTGTACCTAGTTATTCCTGGCACCTTTTACCCTCCATTGAACAGGAAGTGGTATGACTTCCAGACTTTTGCACGTGTGATTTATTTGACTTTTCTGTCCCTTGTCTGTGTGGAGAGCTCCTATGCATCCAGAAAGATACATTCCATCTCCCACCTCTGGGCAGAGCCTAGCCCCCTCCAGCCTGCCCAGCCAGCCCTGACTACACAGAGCTGAGGACCTCTGTGGGGACCTGCATGCACCTAAGACTTGTGATCTGGGAGGATGGTTTTTTTTTTTTTTTTTTTTTTTTTTTGAGACGGAGTCTTGCTCTGTTGCCCAGGTTGGAGTGCAGTGGCTCACTGCAACCTCTGCCTCCCGGGTTCAAGTGATTCTCCTGCCTCAGCCTCCCAAGTAGCTAGGACTACGAGCACTTGCCGCCACACCTGGCTAATTTTTTGTATTTTTAGTGGAGACAGGGTTTCACCATGTTGCCCAGGCTGGTGTTGAATTCCTGAGCTCAGGTGATCCGACCACCTTGGCCTCCCAAAGTGCTGGGATTACAGGCGTGAGCCACCGTGTCCGGCAGGACAGCGTTCTTGGTGGAGGGAACAAGCCTGCTGTGTTGGAGGCTTGAGAAGCCAAGAGTAAGGAGGCTGGAAGTACTGAGCTGAGAGGGTAATGGGGAGTCAGGGGACAGCAGGGCTGTCCAAGGCCAGGCACACAGTGGGGCCTTGATGGCCATTTCTGGCACCAGGGGCTGCTCCGACCTCTACCCAGGCCCACTGCCCACTAGGTAAGTGCTGCAGATGATCTGACCACTGCAACTTTTTTTTTTTTTGGCGGAGTCTTGCTCTGTTGCCCAGGTTGGAGTGCAGAACTGTGATCTTGGCTCCCTGCAGCCTCTGCCTCCCGGGTTCAAGCAATTCTTGTGCTTCAGCCTCCCGAGTAGCTGAGATTATAAGCATGCATCACCACACCCAGCTAATTTTTGTATTTTTAGTAGAGACGGGGTTTCACCATGTTGGCCAGGCTTGTCTCAAATTCCTGATCTCAGGTGATTCGCCCACCTTGGCCTCCCAAAGTGCTGGGATTACAGGCATGAGCCACTGCACCCAGCCCTGACCACTGCAACTTCTGGGGGTACCTCCTTCCCCTGCTCGCCCTCCTGGGTATAAGCAATTTGCTCAGCCCACACAGCCTCATAGGCCCATCTCCCAGCTGCCCTTCCTCTGTTCTTAAGGGCTGGCTAAGCTCTAGGAAGCCAGAACTAAGTTCAAATCCCACTCCACCCTTCCCAGGCGTGCAGTCTCCGACGGGACGCTTGCTCACACCCACTCCAATCCACCTGCTCACTGCAGCCTCCAGGCCTTTCCCGGCCCAGTGCCTTCCTCCTCCCTCTGCGATGAGATCTGACTCATCCCCCACTAAGGAAGAAATCCTCCACTGGGAAGCCTGCCCAGGATTCATCACAGAAGGATTTGGCCCAGATGCCTCCTCTGTAGGAATAACACCACAGCCGTCAGCATTTCCTGACCCCAAACACAGCATGGAACCCCCAGTGAAGTCCTAGGGCCCACCCTGAACTAGAATCTCAGGAGGCAGACAGCCTCCAGCTCTTCTCTGGCTCTGCCCCTGAAGTGTGGCCAACACCTCCACTTCCACCTTTCTGAGCGTGTGCAGGGGATAGCGGAGCAGGTCCCTCACTGGACAAGTGGCACAGTCAAGGAGGGGTGCTGGCAGGAGCCGATGAGGTACAGCTGGCAGTAGGAAGGAGTGCGCTGTTGGGGCTCTTGTCTTTTCTAGCTATGGTCCCAGTGCGGTTCACAACAGGTCCCCAAAGCTCTTCCCTCTCCCCCGTCTCCGCCCACCTCTCCCCACCCACTCACTTAGGCTTCAAGTGCCTCACTGCAGCCTTGCCGCCACCTTTATTGGGCACTCAGCTCTGAGGCTCTACACACACGCGCTGGGGGATGGGAGGGGGTGGGGTGTCACTTGGGGCAGGGATCCTCTGGCGGGAGGACGGGTGGCTGGTGATAACAGCATGGCCCCGGGGCCTGACGCCTTGGCCCCCCCCCGGAACGCTCTGTGACCCTTGAAGCTGACCTGGCGTAAGGGCGTGCAGAGTCGTGACCTGGACCACCCGTGGGTGAACTGGCTCCCCCAGTTCTGGGCTCACTTGGGGGCATTGAAGGGCACAGCCCGCTGGTTCATGGGGTTGTCGGGAGAGCGGAGCCACTCCTTCTTGAGCAGCTGTTTCAGCTGCGACAGCCGCATGTTGGGGTTCTCTTGTTTGAGCCGCGGCAGCTGGGCTTCCTCAAAGGCTGTGAAGGCTGCCCGCATGCGTCTTTCTGGGTGCCGGTCGGCCGCCTCCTCCGCCACGCTGAGTGGGGATGGACATGCATGTCAGGGGGCCTTGGGCGCAGCCTCGCCCCGAAAAGCCCGGCCCCGCCCCCGGTAGCCCCGCCCCCTCGGAGGTCTTAGGTCCCGCCCCCAGAGGACCAGCTCCACCCCTGGGAAGCCCCAGGCCCCGCCCCGTTACCTAAGCACCGCGATGGCGTCCTCGATGGTGCGGGCCTCCATGCTGCCCTCCTCCAGCACGCGGCGGTTCACGTTCTCCTCCAGCGGCACCTCCAGATGGCTCTTGGCTTTCTCGGCTGGGCGGGTGGGTGGGTGACAGAGACAGAGAGAGATAAGCAAAGATGCACAGTTCCAAGGAGATGAGATAGAGACTGGCAGGAGAAGCTAGGGGCGGGAGGAAGGCGGGAGAGATGAGGGGGTATGCAACCGACTTGAGCTGGTAAGCCCTCTTGGGAGAGGTCCCACCCTCCCGGCGCCCAGTTCTCTGCCTTCCTTTGCGGCAGCCCTGCAAACAAGAGGACCCCAGGGGGCCCAAGCCCAGAGGCTGTCTGTGCTCACGGCCAGGCTTACCAGGAGGCGGCCTACCCACCCACCCTGCACCACGCGGAGCCCTGGCAGCTTCTCTGGGGGCCAGGAGGGGGTCTAATGGACTCAAAGTCCACTGCCTCTGCAGTGGGCAAAAGTGCAGCTCCAGAGCGGGATGCCGCCCCACCTGTGTCCGGGGCCTCCCTGAGCTGATGGTCTCGGCGCAGCGTGTCCTCGATCTGGGCCCGGGTGACCTTGCTGGACGTGGCCACCCGCGGCGCCTTGCCGCCCTTGAGCTTGGAGTCCTCCTCCTCCAGCAGGCGCTGCGTTTCCTTCTTACGTTCCAGCTGGTCGAGACGCCGCTTCTCCTTCTCCTCCTGCAGGGGCCGCGTGCATGGTCAGGCAGAGGACCCCACACCCCCGCGGCACCCACTAGCCTGGGGTTCGAGTTTTCATCTCAGCCAATAAAGATTTAGACTCTCTGCTGGGTGCAGGGGACATGCCAGGAACAAGATGGGTCCTGGTGCTGCCCTGGGCGGGGGATGTGAGGCCAGCAGGGGAACCTTGGACAGGGCAGGTGGGTGGCTCTTGAAGAAGTGACGCTCCTGGGTCCGAAGAGGGCCGGCCAAGGGGGAGAGCGGGGGAACAGGGGCGTCCTTAGAGGCAGGGGTACTAGTACAAAGGCGCCGAGGCAGGAGCCATTTGTTATAACAGGAACAGCTTGGAGGCTGGAGTGGGAGTGAAGGGGGCGGGGGAAGAGGTTGGGAGGGAGATGGCTGGGCCATGCGGAGCCTCTGGAGGCCAGGGAGGGGTTCATGTTGGATTCTAAGAGCGGTGGGAGGCCTGGACCCGTTTCAGGCTAGGGCAGGGGCTCTGTCCTTATGAGTCGGGCAGCACTGTCCACTTTTCCCTGACATGGGTCAATGAAGCTGAAACTGATCCCACATCGGCCACCCAGGGAAGCCCTGATGCTCGCTGGATGAGGGACATCTGGGCTAGGGGACTTGCCCTTGCCCTGTCCTGCACCTACCCCAGGGGGCCGAGTGAGCCCATGGTTTATATATAGTGCTGCTGGAAGCTCAGGGCAGTACTCTGCCCGCTGCCTGGCACTCCCGCAGGGCCCTGGTCTTGGACACCCTTGCCTGCCCGCTCACTGCTTGAGACTCCACCATCTGACTCTCACACCTTCATTCTTCCCAGGGATGATCCCCACACCCACAGTGTCCCCCTGGGACACTACCACTGCGTCTCCAGATAGATTTGACAGAAGGAAATGTCACAGAATAGGGGTAGACGCACCTAAGACAGCGCCAGGGCCTGACCCCCACCCCCACCTGCACAGCAGGAAAGTTGGAGGGGGTGTTAAAGTCAAGGATGTTAGAGTGCACAAACAGCTCCCACTGCTGTGCTGAGGAGGCTGTTTCTGCCTCGGTCAGAGGCAATGTCCTGAGGCTCCCTGACTGACGCATGTCACACACACATTCTGATTCAGACAAGGCCCTGCCTGAGGCTTTTTTTTTTTTTTTTTCCTGAGACAAAGTCTTTCTCTGTCAGCCAGGCTGGAGTGCAGAGGTGCGATCTCGGCTCACTGCAACCTCTGCCTCCTGAGTTCAAGCAATTCTCATGCCTCAGTCTCCCAAATAGCTAGGATCACAGGTGCCCACCACCACGCCTGGCTAACCTTTTCTAATTTTAGTAGAGACAGGATTTCACCATGTTGCCCAGGCTGGTCTCGAACTCCTGACCTCAAGTGATCTGCCTGCTTTGGCCTCGCAAAGTGCTGGGATTACATGTGTGAGCCCCTGTGCCTGGCCAATGCACGATGTTTGAAGTGAGGAGAGGTATCACTGGTGGGGGACAGACCAGGATGGGTATGAGGGAAACTCACGGGGCTGGGAATGTTCTAGAGAGCAGGGGTTGACAAACTGTAGCCAACTGCCTGCTTTGGTAAATATTTTCTTTTTTTTTTTTTTTTGAGACAGAGTCTCGCACTGTCGCCCAGGCTGGAGTGCCGTGGTGCGACCTCAGCCCACTGCAACCTCCGCCTCCCAGGTTCAACTGATTCTCCTGCCTTAGCCTCCGGAATAGCTGGGATTACAGGCGCCCGCCGCCATGCCTAGCTAATTTTTTGTACTTTTAGTAGACATGGGGTTTCACCATGTTGGCCAGGCTCGTCTCGAACGCCTGACCTCGCGATCCACCTGTCTTGACCTCCCAAAGTATTGGAATTACAGGCAAGAGCCACCACGCCTGGCCCCTTTGGTAAAGTTTTATGGGCACGCAGCCATACCTATTTGCTAACCTACTGTCAGTGGTGGCCTTCATGCTCAATGATAGGGTCTAGTGGCTTCCTGTCTGACCCCTAACTGAAGACTAAGCTATTCACCACCTGGCCCCAACTGCCTGTCCAACCCTCTCTATACCTTGTCCCGGGTACATGCAATACAGGTGTGCTCAGAGGTACATGCTCTCTGACCTACACTCCTAGGACAGGCACGCTTTGCTGTCCCTTAATCAAACCTCTTAACAGGCCAGAGGCAGTGGCTCACGCATGTAATTCCAGCATTTTGGGAGGCTGAGGTGGGCGGATCACTTGAGGTAAGGAGTTGGAGACCAGCCTGGGCAACATGGTGAAACCCCATCTCTGCTAAAAATACAAAAATTATCCAGGCGTGGTGCCATGCCTGTAATCCCAGCTACTTGGGAGGCTGAGGCAAAAGAATCGCTTGGACCTAGGAGGCGGAGGTTGCAGTGAACTGAGATCACACCACTGTACTCCAGCCTGGGCGACAGAAACTGTCTAAAAAAACCGAAAAACCAAACAAACAAACAAAACAAGGCCAGGTGCGGTGGCTCACACCTCTAATCCCAGCACTTTGGGAGGCCAAGGTGGACGGATCACTTGAGGCCAGGAGTTTGAGGCCAGCCTGACCAACATGATGAAACCCCATCTCTACTAAAAATTAGCCTGGTTTGGTGGCACACACCTGTAATCCCAGCTACTCAGGAGGCTGAGGCAAGAGAGTGGTTTGAACCTGGGAGGCACAGGTTGCAGTGAGCCAAAGTCGCACCACTACACTCCAGCCTGTGTGATAGAGTGAAACTGCCTCAAAAAAAAAAAAAAAAAACAAAAAAAAAAACGCTTAACAAACTAGAAGGTGCCAGTCTGGCTCCAGCTCTTCCTCATAGCCATGTGATCTGGGCTTTCTGCCTTCTCTGCCTGTTTCCTCCCAGAGGATGGGGCCAACACCAGTGGCCAAGATGCAGGCCACGGGGAGGGCTAGGCCAATGATCCTGACTCTATGGGCGGAAAGGTCTCTGGATTCTCTGTCTGGATACTGGATCTTTTTATTTTTTTATTTTATTATTATTATCATTATTATTTTTTTGAGACGGAGTCTTGCTGTGTCGCCCAGGCTAGAGTGCAGTGGCGCAATCTCAGCTTACTGCAAGCTCCGCCTCCCGGGTTCACGCCATTCTCCTGCCTCAGCCTCCCAAGTAGCTGGGACTACAGGCGCTCGTCACCACGCCCGGCTAATTGTTTTGTTTTTAGTAGAGAGGGGGTTTCACCTTGTCAGCCAAGATGGTCTTGATCTCCTGACCTCGTGATCCACCCACCTCGGCCTCCCAAAGTGCTAGGATTACAGGCGTGAGCCACCACGCCCAGCCTTATTTTATTTTTTTGAGACAGACTCTTGCTCTGTTGCCCAGGCTGGAGTGCAATGGCACGATCCTGGCTCACTGCAACCTCCGCCTCCTAGGTACAAGCGATTCTTGTGCCTCAGCCTCCCGAGTGGCTGGAACTACAGGTGTGTGCCACCACGCCCGGCTAATTTTTATATTTTTAGTAGAAATGGGGTTTCACCATGTTGGCCAGGATGGTCTCAAACTCCTGACCTCAGGTGATCTGCCTGTCTCGGCCTCCCAAAGTGCTGGGATTACAGGCGTCAGCCCCCGCACCCGGATGGATACTGGATCTTTGACATCATTTTTCCTTTTGAGTTTTCAACCTTCCTATAGTGTCAAAATTTTGATGATCCCCCCACCCCAAACTATAAATATCTTCATGGACCCAGTGCAGCAGGGTGGGTAGGGGTGGGGCTGGAAGAAAGCCAGGGACAGTCAGTGTGTGCTAAAAACAAGGCAGGATCTACCCCTTCACAGAAAGGTGATGGAAGGCCAGGCGCAGTGGCTCATACCTGTAATCCCAGCACTTTGGGAGGCTGAGGTGGGAGGACTGCTTGAGCCCAGGAGTCTGAGACCAACTTGGGCAACACAGTGAGATGACCCCCCTTCTCTACACAAAATACAAACAATAGCTGGGCATGGTGGTGCATGCCTGTAGTCTCAGCTGCTTGGGAGGCTGAGGCAGGAGGCTTGCTTGAGTTCGGGAGGTCAAGACCGCATTGAGCTGTGATCATGCCACTGCACTCCAGTCTGGGCGACAGAGCAAGACCGTCTTTAAAAAAAAAAAATATATATATATATATATATATATATATGACAGGTAAAGCAGGTGGAAATGTCCAGATTCCCCCCAAGAACTGGGCATGTTGTCTGGAGAGCAGCCCCTAAGCTGGGGGGTTGCTTAGGGAGCCGGTGTCTCAGCTACCCCAGGGGTGGAAACCAGGAGCTGTGGCTAGCATGGGTCACTGGCGCCACCTACTGGGCCAAGCAGATCAGCATCAGCCCTAAACCACAATCCAGACACCAATGAAGCAAGCACTATGTGCTTGGCCCTGGGCTTTTTGATGGATCTCGGGTCACGTTCTCATTCTGTTGCCCAAGCTGGAATGCAGTAACACGATCATAGCTTACTGCAGCCCTGACCTCCCAGGCTCAAGTGATCCTCTCACCTCAGCCTCCCAAGTAGCTGGGACGACAGGCATGCACTACCATGAATGGCTAATTTTTACATGTTTTGTGGAGATGGGGTCTTGCTATGTTGCCCAGGCTGGCCTCAAGCAATCCTCTCACCTCAGCCTCCCAGAGTACTGAGATTACAGGCATGAGCCAGCACACCAAACCATGGCTTTTAAAAAATAAACACCTGGGCCGGACGCAGGGGCTCACACCTATGATCCCAGCACTTTGGGAGACTGAGGCAGGCAGATCACCTGAGGTTGGGAGTTTGAGACCAGTCTGACCAACATGGAGAAACCCCATATCTACTAAAAATACAAAATTAGGCCGGGTGCGGTGGCTCACGCCTGTAATCCCAGCACTTTGGGAGGCCGAGACGGGTGGATCATGAGGTCAGGAGATTGAGACCATCCTGACTAACATGGTGAAACCCCGTCTCTACTAAAAATACAAAAAAAAATTAGCCTGGCGCGGTGGTGGGTGCCTGTAGTCCCAGCTACACAGGAGGCTGAGGCAGGAGAATGGTGTGAACTCGGGAGGCGGAGCTTGCAGTGAGTGGAGATCACACCACTGCACTCCAGCCTGGCCGACAGAGCGAGACTCCATCTCAAAAAAATAAATAAAGAAATAAAAATAAAAAATAAAAATAAAAAAATAAAAATACAAAATTAGCTGGGTGTGATGGTGCATGCCTGTAATTCCAGATACTCAGGAGGCTGAGGCAGGAGAATTGCTTGAACCCGGGAGGTGGAGGTTGCAGTGAGCCGAAATTGGGCCACTGCACTCTAGCCTGGGCAACAGAGCGAGACTCCGTCTCAACAACAACAAAATAAACACCTAGAAGAACCTGTGGACCTGGGTCAGCAGGTTGGAAACGGGGGCCTGATCACAGCGTTTCTCTGTCTCGGCACTGCTGATTTCTGGGGCTGGCTCGTTCTTTGCTGTGGGGGCGTCCTGTGCATTCTAGGGTGTCAGCATCTCTGGCCTCCACCTTCTAGATGCCAGCAACACGCCCTCTCCCCGAGTTATGACAACCAAACACATCTCCAGGTGTTGCCAAGCGTCCTCAGGGGCAGAGTGGCTCCATCGTGAGAATGACCATCTAGCCTAACCCTGGCATTACTGAAAGGAGAAAAACGTCCACAGAGAGCAATGACAGCCTCACTGTCCACAAACAAGCAAGACCGTGCCACCCCAGGGCCTTTGCACACACCATTTCCTCTGCCTCCCTCCCCTCTGCCATTTCCAGTGCCTCTGGTGTTTTGTTTTTTTGTTTTCTGAGTCAGTGTCTCACTCTGTTGCCCAGATTGGAGTGCAATGGCACGATCTCAGCTCACTGCAACCTCCGCCTCCCAGGTTCAAGCAATTCTCCTGCCTCAGCCTCCCAAGTAGCTGGGATTACAGGAGCGTGCCACCACACCCAGCTAATTTTTATATTTTGAATAGAGTCAGGGTTTCACCATGTTGGCCAGACTGGTCTTGAACTCCTGACCTCAGGTGATCCGCCCACCTCGGCCTCCCAAAGTGCTGGGATTACAGGCATGAGGCACAGCGCCCGGCCTCTTTTTTTTTTTTTTTTTGAGATGGAATCTCGCTCTGTTGCCCATGCTGGAATGCAGCAGGGAGATCTCGGCTCACTGCAAACCTGCGCCTCCCAGTTCAAGCAATTCTCCTGCCTCAGCCTCCAGAGTAGCTAGGACTGTAAGTGTGCACCACCATGCAGTTAATTTTTGTATTTTTAGTAGAGACGGGGTTTCATCATGTTGGCCAGGCTGGTCTTGAACTCCTGACCTCAGGTGATCTGCCCACCTTGGCCTCCCAAAGTGCTGGGATGACAGGCGTGAGCCACCGTGCCCAGTCCCTCCTGGCCTTTCAGACCAAAGCTCAGAGGGGCCTCTTGCTATTCACACACATTGACATAAGGACCACTGGCCTCGGCCACAGGGCACACAGGCCGCGGGGACTTGGGGCACACACACCTTGCGCTGCTCCTTCCTCATGACGTGTTTGTCGTCGTCCTTCCAGTAGGCATCCTCCAGCTCCTTCTGCTTCTTGGCATCAGCGGCCGCCTTGGCCTCTGCCCTCCGTGCCCGGGCCGCTGCCGACTTGGTGTTCTCACCCTGGAACTTCTTGGGCATCCCTCAGCAGGCTGTGGGAAGAGGATGGGGGCAGGGGAGCAGGGGCTGGTGGGGACATCGGCACTCAGCACCCCCAGACTCACACCTGGGCAGCCAGGACCCTCCTGGGGCCTCCATGGCCTTCTCTGTATAAAACAAGGGCTTTGGACTTAGCGCTCTCCTTGTAAAAGTTTATTAAGGCAAAATTCACATCATGACACCAAATGAGCTCATTTGGGCCGGGTCTGGTGGCTCACACCCGTAATCCCAGCACTTTGGAAGGCCGAGGTGGGCGGATCACTTGCGGTCAGGAGTTCGAGACTAGCCTGGCCAACACAGCAACACCCCACCTCCACTAAAACTACAAAAATTAGCTGGACATGGTGGTGTGCACCTGTATTCCCAGCCAGTCAGGAGGCTGAGGCAGGAGAATAGCTTGAACCCAGGAGGTGGAGGTTGAAGTGAGCCAAGATCATGCCACTGCACTCCAGCCTGGGCGATAGAACGAGACTCCGTCTCAATGAAAGGAAAAAAAACTAATTTAAAGGTGTACAATTCAGGCCGGGCGCGGTGGCTCACGCCTGTAATCCCAGCACTTTGGGAGGCCAAGGTGGGCAGATTACCTGAGGTCAGGAGTTCAAAACCAGCTTGGTCAACAGGGTGAAACCCCGTGTCAACTAAAAATAAAAAAATTAGCTGGGTGTGATGGTGGGCACCTTTTTTTTTTTTTGAGATGGAGTCTCGCTGTCGCCCAGGCTGGAGTGCAGTGGCCGGATCTCAGCTCACTGCAAGCTCCGCCTCCCGGGTTTACGCCATTCTCCTGCCTCAGCCTCCCGAGTAGCTGGGACTACAGGCGCCCACCACCTCGCCCGGCTAGTTTTTTGTATTTTTTAGTAGAGACGGGGTTTCACCGTGTTAGCCAGGATGGTCTCGATCTCCTGACCTCGTGATCTGCCCATCTCGGCCTCCCAAAGTGCTGGGATTACAGATGGTAGGCACCTTTAATCCCAGCTACTTGGGAGGCTGAGGCAGGAGAATTGCTTGAACCTGAGAAGCAGAGGCTGCAGTGAGCCGAGATTGTGCAACTGCACTCCAGCCTGAGCGGCAGAATGAGACTGCCTCTCAAAAAAATAAATAAATAAGAGCTGGGTGTGGTGGCGCATGCCTGTAATCCCAGCTACTCAGGAGGCTGAGGCAGGAGAATCACTTGAACCCAGGAGGCGGAGGTTGCAATGAGCTGAGATCACACCACTGCACTCCAGGCTGGGCAACAGAGCGAGACCCCATCTCAAAAAAAAAAAAAAAAAGGTGTACAATTCAGTGTTTAAGTATATTCACAGCGTTGTACAAATACCACCTCTGTCTAGTTGCAGAACACTTGCATCCCCCCAAACGAAGCCACATCGCCATCAGCAGTCACTCCCTGTTCCTCCTCCCCTAGCCCCTGGCAACCACCAATCTGCTTTGTTTCTATGGCTTTGCCTGTTCTGGACATTTCAGTCCATATCAACGGAATCATAGGCTGGGTGCGATAGCTCACGTTTGTAATCCCCATGCTTTGGGAGGCTGAGGCAGGAGGATTGCTTGAGGCCAGGAGTTCAAGACCAGCCTGGGCAACAGAGCAAGACTCCATCTCTACAAAATAAAAAATAGGCACAGTGGCTTGTGCCTGTAGTTCCAGCTACTTAGGAGGCTGAGGTGGAAGGATCACCTGAGCGTAGGAGGCTGAGGCCACAGTGAGCTGATTGTGCCGCTGCACTCCAGCCTGGGCAACAGAACATGACCCCGTCTATTAAAAGGAAAAAAAAAAAAAAAGAGGAAATGAGGCACCAATACATGACACAATGTGGTTGAACCTCAACAACACGATGCTGAGTGAAAGAAGCCAGACACAAAAGGCCACACAGTGTGAGAGTACATTTATTCATTTATTTTGGAGACAGGGTCTTACTCTGTCGCCCAGGCTGGAGTGCAGTGGCGAGATCTCGGCTTACTGCAGTCTTGACCTCCTGGGCTCAAGAGATCCTACCACCTGAGCCTCCTAAGTAGCTGTGACTATAGGTGCAGGCCACCATGCCTAGATTTTTTTTTTTTTTTTTTTTTTTTAGGCAGGGTCTATGTTGCCCGGGCTGGCCTTGAACTCCTGGGCTCAAGTGATCCTCCTGCCTGGGCCTTCCAAGGTGCTGGGATTACAGGCCTGAGCCGCTGCGCCTGGCCCTTCTTTCCTTTTTATGGCTGAATACTCCTCCACTGCATGGATACGCCACATTTTGTTTGTCCATTTGTCTACAGCTAGACATCTGGGCTATTTCCACAGTGGGGATCTTTTTTTGTTTTGTTTTGAGACAGAGTTTCGCTCTTTCACCCAGGCTGGAGTGCAGTGGCGCAATCTCCGCCCACTGCAACCTCCACCTCCCGGGTTCAAGCAATTCTCCTGCTTCAGCCTTCCGAGTAGCTGGGATTACAGGTGCCCGCCACCACGCCTGGCTAATTTTTGTATTTTTACAGAGATGGGGTTTCATCATGTTGGCCAGGCTGGTCTTGAACTCCTGACTTCAGGTGATCCACCCGCCTTGGCCTCCCAAAGTGCTAGGATTACAGGTGTGAGCCACCGCGCCTGGCCCCATCAGGTCTCTTGCAAGTCATGCTTTTGTGACCATGTGGCAGTCTGTGTGGGGTCCCTCCCCTGTCTGCCCCCGGGAGACTTCAGTCCCCAAATTTCCTAGAGCTGGGTGAACAATAAAGCCACCATAAATTGCCCGCGATGGCTTCGGGTCTGCACCGCTGGGAGATGTTATAACAATCCTAAAGCTTCGGGCCCCTGGGCACCTGGTCCCTATCTGGTGTGAGGCCCACGTGAGAAGCCAGGGAATGACAAGGCACACACAAATGGTAGGCACCACCGTTCACCAAATGTCTGGCCCTTGGTGAAGTGCTTTACAAGGACCAAAACAATGGAATGTCCCCAAAACCTTAAACGTGGGGACTGTCATTTATCCCCATTCTAAAGAGGGGAAGCCGAGGTCTCTGGCCAGGACACACAGGGCTGAACCTGGAGCCTTATCTCAAAAGTCTGTTTTCAGGTGAAGCGGGGGAAGGCCACCAGCTGAGAAATTAATAGCACTCCACCAGGGTGCTGAGGATGCCAGCGCTGTGCCATCCAGGGCGTGAGACTCAGCACTCTTCTTATTTTATTTTCAGACGGAGTCTTGCTCTGTCACCCAGGCTGGAGTGCAGTGGCACGATCTCAGCTCACTGCAACCTCCACCTCCTGGGTTCAAGTGATTCTCCCACCTCTGCCTCCCCTGTAGCAGGGACTACAGGCATGTGCCACCATGCCTATCTGATTTTTGTACTTTTAGTAGAGATGGGGTTTCACCATGTCGGCCAGGCTGGTCTCAAACTCTTGACCTCAAGTGACCCGCTTGCCTCGGCCTTCCAAAGAGCTGGATTACAGGCATAAGCCACAGTGCCTGGCAATTTCTGCTGTTTAATCCATCCAGTCTGTGGTATTAGTTATGACAGTCCAAGCTGACAAATACAGACACTCTTCTGTGTGTGGTAAACACTCACTCACACACACCACGTCACTCAACAAATATGTACTGGGCACCTAATACGTGTGCGATGCTGGGGAAAGAGGTGGCACAAATGAGCTTCCTGCCTGCATGGGACTCCCAGACAAGAGCCACCACATGCAGTCAGAGTCCTAACAAGGGCACACAGGGCGCTGGGGAAGCCCAGAGAGGGCTTCTGACCCAGCCTGGGTCAAAGGGCTTCCTAGAGGAGACAACCAAGGAAAAGTCTGAATGAGTGGGGGAGATCCCAGCCTGCACGGGGGATGCAGGAGATAGGCTGGAAAAAAGGGGCGATTTGTATTCCAGGGAGAAGGGAAGGTGTGGAGGGCGTTAGACCCGGGAGGCCCAATCTGTGGGTCACACAAGCCCTCTGGGGTTGTTGAGGAGGTGGACTCCCCAGATGGCAGGAGCTGGGAGCCCAGGCGGGACCCAGGGAGTGGCTCAGGCTGGGCGAGGGGCACACTTAGGAGGGAATCAAGATCCACGGGGATCAAGACCCCACGGATGTGAAGGTAAAAGAACAGAATACGAAGATCAACAATGCCTCCTCCAAGCAGCCCTCCCGGCTATCCCTTCTGAGGTTCCCCACCACTAATCCCCCTACAAGAGGCCGGGGTCGTCCGCACCCAACTCTGTCCCTCTCGAGACCGGAAGCTGCCCTGGGACAGTCCGGGACCAGGGGGCCTCGAACACTACGCTGTCGCGTCGGGCTTCAGTCGTCTGGTCTGGAAATGGGCATCGCCCCCAATTAGGTGTGGTTCAGACTGGATGCCGGAAGTGCTCCCGCCTCCCAGCATCCCTCCTCCAGCCTTCCCAGGGGATGGTCCCAGGCCAAGCAGCCCCCGCCCCGCGCCTTTGCCCCCCGAACCCAGGTTCCGCTCGCGCCGCAGGCGCTCGTACCTCCTTACCCCAGCGCCGGCCCGGTCGCGCCTCCGTGACGTCACCGCGGGGCCTGCGCGCTGAGCTCCTGGCGGCGCGCGCTCATTGCGCCTCGCTACCGCCACCATCTTGGTAAAGGAAAGGATGGCTGGGCCTCGGACCCAAGCCAGGGTAGTCATCCACTTCTTTGTCTCTTCAAAAAGAGGACACTTAATACGCCCTCATTCCCTACGTTCGCTTTATATATTGACGAACCAGGAGGGGCCGGCAGAGGCGAAAATCTAGAACATTGCCTTTACCAAGATGGCCGATGCCCGGACGAAAGATGGCAGCTGCGATTACACACGTGGACTGGCGGTTTCAGCCAGGAGCTGCCCGGCCGCCAGAGCGCGCCCGCGGTCCGTGAGGGGAGGTGGACCCGACGACAGAGCCCTGTGGAAGCCTCTCCGTAGCTCTTTGCAATGCCTTAGCGCTTTAAAATTGCTTTCCTAGTCCTGAGTCTCTGCGACCCACTTGTGACTCTGGGGTGGAACTGGGAGAGGGGAGATAAATGGGGCAGAGAAATTAACACACACCAAGCAGGCCAGGTAGGGAAACTGAGGTTCAGAGAGACCAGGAATTGAGTTTGGCCAAAATGTAACCGCGAGTAGGCTCATAACCGCGAGTAGGCTCAAATTCCGTCTCTTGCTCCTGTAAAGGTAAACTGAGGCTGGAGCCAAACCGGGAACGAAGACACAAGGCAAATGGCAGTAAGAATAGCCTTTTATTAGGGCTTGCCGGCGAGGTTCCTCGGTCCAAAGGCGTGGGCCGAGGAAGTCGCGCTGAGGGAGGAGGGTAGGGGCTTTTTATAGCCCGAGAGGTAGGGAAGCTGGTTGTGCAAACAGGGCCTGGGGGATCTTGAAACTACTAGGGCTGGAGTTGAGTAAGGGTCATGAGGAAGGGGTCTTTGGAAACTGTCAACCGAAATTGCTGTTTACCAACTTGCGGAATGCAGGTGAGCTGCAGGTCATGGGGGAGTGTGGTTGCCTAGCCAGAACTCTGACGTATGTAAGTCTGCGGGTGTGTACAAGGGTGAAGGGAGTCTTTAACAAAAGGCCTGCCACGCCGGGTAACGCCGCCATGTTGGGTCTAGATTCCTGCCTAACAACTCCTGCCAGTGCCTCCCCCTGGATTGCTGACCCGCTCCCCACTTTTGCAATATTATTTATTAATTTTATTTAGAAATTAAGTTTGGGGCGCTAATTTGTCTTAGGCACTATACTTTAGATTTTGTGCATTTACTATTTCTCAGTGTCCTCATCAGTAAAAATGGCGGTATTAGGTGTCTAAGGATGGTTACACTGGATCTGACTGTGGAGAGGGAAAAGCAAATGCTTTTGGGGCAGTTTGGGTAGGAGTAGTTGACCACAGAGTCCATTCCCTAAAAGGCATCCCCTCAGTGACCCCGCAGGGACCTAAATCCCAGTGCGCGATGCACCTCCCCTGCTCTAACACCTCCCCTGGGTTCTCATTGTCCCATAAGACTCCTCCCACCTCCAACCCCATCTCCCTTGTCCTCCCTCTCATCCTTCCGTTAGCTCTCAGCTCAGGTCGCACCAGCCCGGTCTTACAAATTGCCAGGCGCAGGCTTGCCTCAGGGAGTTCCCCCAGGAATTTCCCAGGTTTTTCCATAGCCAGCTTCCTCCCTCCCTTCAGGCCTTACCCTAAATATCCCTTCCTCAGAGAGATTCTCCCAGATCCCCCCACCCCCGCCACCAGGCGAAATGGACACGTCCTTCTCCAGGCTTCTTTCTTTCTCCTTCCTTCCTTCCTTCCTTCCCTCCCTCCCTCCCTCCCTCCCTCCCCTCCTCCCTCCCTCCTTCCTTCCTTCCTTCCTTCCTTCCTTCCTTCCTTCCTTCCTTCCCTCCCTCCCTCCCTCCCTCCCTCCCTCCTTCCTTCCTTCCTTCCTTCCTTCCTTCTCTTTTTTTTGAGACACGGTCTTGCTCTGTCTTCCAGGCTGGAGTTCAGTGGCGCGATCTAGGCTCACTGCAACCTCCGCCTCCCGGGTTCAAGCGATTCTCCTGCTCCTGCCTCAGCCTCCCAAGTAGCTGGGAATACAGGCATGTGCCACTGCGCCCGGCTAATTTTTTTTTTTTTTTATTAGAGACGGAGTTTCACCCATGTGGGCCAGGCTGGTCTTGAACTCCTGACCTCAGGTGATCCAACCGCCTCAGCCTCCCAAAGTGCTGGGATTACAGGTGTGAGCCACCACACCCGGCCCCTCTTTCTTTTTTTTCTTTTGTAATATCAAGTTGCTTTAACATTTTGTGGACCTGTTTAGTTTTGGTCTCCCCCATGGCTTCGATGTCCAGAGGTGAAGTTCGTTTGGCCCTTAGAAGAAGAGGCTCAATATAACCATGTATTGTCAGTGTTGAGGGAGGCGTTGGAAGGTGCCAAAGGCATCTTAATTAACCTTCCACTGATAAAGAACCAGGCCTGTCACGCCTTCCCGACCAGGCTTGTCACACTTTCCTAAGTGTGATAAGATAGCCTCTTCCTTCATATTGACATAACTTAGGGGTGTAGATCAAGTGAATTTCAATCCAGAACAAGCCACGTCTTCAGCAAGGTGACTTCTGGTGTCCCAAGGCACCCCGCCACGGAGTGCAGTGCCCAGAACCGTACAGCTTCTATTGTTCTAACATTCTGTAACTTTTAGATGTGCGCGTTCTCAAGTATTGAAGTCCTACTGTGCGCCACAGCTGGTACCACACAGCAGGATGAGACAGAAAGGGCTCTGGTTGCAGGGGGCTCAAAGTCGGAAAATCACATGAAAGATTATTATCCTGGCTGGTCGCGGTGGCTCATGCCTGGGATCCCAACCCTTTGGAAGGCTAAGATGGGAGGATCGCTTGAGGCCAGCCTGGGCAACATGATGAGACCCCATCTCTACAGAAAATAAAAATATTTGCTGGGCATGGTGGCATGTTCATCCTCCCATTCAAGAGTCTCACTTGAGCCCAGAAGTTGGAGGCTGTAGTGAGCTATGATAGCGCCACTGCACTCCAGCCAGCCCGGGCAAAGGAGCCTGTCTCTTAAAAAATAATAATAGGCCGGGCGCGGTGGCTCAAGCCTGTAATCCCAGCACTTTGGGAGGCCGAGACGGGCGGATCACAAGGTCAGGAGATCGAGACCATCCTGGCTAACACGGTGAAACCCCGTCTCTACTAAAAAATACAAAAACCTAGCCGGGCGAGGTGGCGGGCATCTGTAGTCCCAGCTACTCGGGAGGCTGAGGCAGGAGAATGGCGTGAACCCGGGAGGCAGAGCTTGCAGTGAGCTGAGATCCGGCCACTGCACTCCAGTCTGGGCGACAAAGCGAGACTCTGTCTCAACAACAAAAATAATAATAATAATAATAAAGGCCAGGCATAGTGGCTCACGCCTGTAATCCTAGCACTTTGGGAGGCCGAGCTGGGCAGATCACCTAAGGTCAGGAGTTCGAGACCTGCCTGACCAACATGGCGAAACCCTGTCTTTACTAAAAACACAAAAATTAGCTGGGCTTGGTGGTGCATGCCTGTAATCCCAGCTACTTGGGAGGCTGAGGCAGGAGAATCACTTGACCCCAGGAGGCAGAGGTTGCAATGAGCCAAGATCATGCCATCACACTCCAGCCTGGGCTACAGAGCATGACTCCATCTCAAAATAAATAAATAATAATAATAAAGGTCAGGCATTGTAGCTCATGGCTATAATCCCAGCACTTCAGGAGGCTGAGGTGGGCAGATCACTTGAGGTCAGGAGTCCAAGACCAGCCTGGCTAACATGGTGAAACCCCATCTAAAAATTACCCAGGCGTGGTGGCATGTGCCTGTAATCCCAGCTACTTGGGAGGCTGAGGCAGGAGAATCACTTGAACCTGGGAGGCGGAGGTTGCAGTGAGCTGAGATCATGCTACTGCACTCCAGCCTGGGTGATAGAGTAACACTCTGTCTCAAAAGTAATAACAATAATAATAATAATAATAATGATCCTAATCGTGACTAAAAGATGTGCCTGGGGTTGAAACAGGGTTGTGGAGGCCCACAGCCTGGGTGATCAAAGAGGGCTTCTCAGAGGTGCTGTTATTTAAACAAAGCTCTGAAGCTTCAGAAGGAAAGAGTTGAATGAAAAAGAGAGGGAAAGGTGTTCTGGGCAGAGGGAACAGCATATGCAAAGGTGAGGAGGTGAATATAAAGTGAGGAAGAAACAAGTAGCCCTGGACCACTGTCAGCTAGCAGTTGGCCTGGCAGTCACAGCTAAGCTGTGGAGTTTTTGATTGACGAAACCAATTTCATGGAATGTCCACATCAGACAGGGACACTCAGACCAGTGACACTTGGCCATAGAAAAACAAAACCCTTCCGTAATCGAGTCTTAGCACAGGTGAATACAAGAGCATTGTCCAAACCACAAAAATGGCCAAACCTCCCCATCTCCTGGCCAAAGGGTGTGACTGCTAGTTTTCGCCAATTCCCAGCAGGTTCCCCTGCCTTCTAGGTAAAAGAATTATTAAAGGCCAGGCGCCGTGGCTCACGCCTGTAATCCCAGCACTTTGGGAGGCTGAGGCAGGCAGATCATGAGGTCAGGAGATTGAAATCATCCTGGCTAACACAGTGAAACCCCATCTCTACTAAAAATACAAAATTAGCCGGGCATGGTGGTGGGCGCCTGTAGTCCCAGCTACTCGGGAGGCTGAGGCAGGAGAATGGCGTGAACCCGGGAGGCGGAGCTTGCAGTGAGCCGAGATCGAGCCACAGCACTCCAGCCTGGGCGACAGAGCGAGACTCCATCTCAGAAAAAAAAAAAAAAAAAAGATTATTAAAATATTTAGAGAATTGTCCCCACTAGCTGTTTGCAGGCAATCCAAGGCAGAATCCCACTCCCTTGAACTCTCCTCAAATCACCCCACAGTTGCCCTAGTTCTGTAACATGCTCTTTCTCACTTTCTCTTTCTGAGATAGACAGAACCCCTTCCGGTGTTTCTTCCTTCAATGCATTAATCCATAAACCCAGCTGGGTTTCACTGCAGCTGTTTTTCTGGTGGTATTTGACATC